GAAATGAGGTTCCATTATCTTCGTGAGCAGGTAGCAGAAGGGAAGATGAATTTGGAACATTGCAGAACTGAGAATCAGATTGCAGATATCATGACGAAGGGGGTGCATGTCGAAGTTTTTAGAAGACAAAGAGCCATGATGAATATAAATATTCTAGACATAATGAATTAAGTGGTGTGTTGAGAATATAATTCTTTGTGTCGAAATATATATGTGTCGAGTTGTATTAGTGTGTTGAAGTGTCAAAGCAAGTTGTTTCACATAGGATTTCGACTTAGGCCTATTTTAGTAATGTTAGATATTTTAGGCTTTTATAGTTTTGCGCTTTGGTTTGGGGTATAATCTAACCTAAACTATAATTAGGGAGTAATCTTTATTTTGTAAACAACTCTCAAGATCAAGAAAAATTAACTGACTTTCTTATCCCTGAATGTTTCAACAACTTTTTGTCAAAAGACAAAAAAGAGTTTAAATATATTCTAGAGATACGACACAAAAAGATGAGGAAAAATACAAGATAATTCGAGTTAAATCATGAGTTTGTGTGTTGAATCAAATAAATAATGACTTGAATCAAAGTTAGTAAAGTTAAGTATTTGTTATTTTGATTTGAATCATGTATTTGTGTATGTGATTCGAGTCACACAAAACATGACTCAAATCACAACTCATTTTGATGAATATTTTGATTTTCATGATTTGAATCAAATAAATGTGATTCGAGTCAATAAGTAATGTGATTCGAATCACATACTTCCCTGATTCGAGGTAGAAGGAAATTCTAAACTATCAAGCAAGTGTTCGATTTGAATTATAACATGTCTGATTTGAATCAAATCTCACAAAAATCTTAATTTAATAATTTTTATTTGTGATTAAAGCTACATTTGATATTTTGACTTATATCAAATTATAAAGGCTAAAAATAGAAAATACATTATTTTGAGTCCAAATCCAATAGATTAAATGTAAGGGTATTTCAAAATACATGTCTAAATAAATGAAGTGATAAAGTTACAAACAAATTACACATGTGCGATATAAATTTAAAATAAAGTGATACCAAGTGCAATTCAATTTCAGCTAATGCATAAAGAATCCACTAATTGTGCATAACACTTTGCTTACTTTAAAAAGAACCTGACGAGTGTGACAAATTTCTATACCAAAGTCAAGATCATTATTTATGAATTGAGTGACTTGCAACCATTACTAGAATGTAATTATTAAACTAAAAAGGAATTGATCAAAAGAGAAGAAGAACCACATGTACATTTGTTTCTTGGTAGCTTTGATAAAGCACAATTTTCTCATATCAAATCGACCACCATCTTGCATATATGACATCTACCCTCTCTAAGGCACACGTTTAATCAAATACAAAGAGAATAGTCAAGAATCATCTCAAAAAAAGAAAGAGAACTTAATATGGACAATGACTCGACATTCTACTCTAACACATACAGAAGAAAAGGAAGAGAGTAATATTAAAAGTTTAAGTGTTATCATTTTTGAAAGATTGGATATATAAAGGAAAAATGTTTTGAACTTATCGATTATCCAACAAATAAGGATACAAGGAAAACAAATAAGGATACAAGGAAAACAAATAAGAGAAATGAACATAGCAAAAAAGGGTTGGAAAATATACAACTCAAAAACTCATGTCTTTTATACATCAAAGTATGTAGTCTTTTATGAACATATATATCCTCACTTAAAAAAATGATAACAACTCTAACCTCAGACATATTATTAAGATCCAATACCTTGATGAAGAATCAGTAAACAATGTGACCATCAATCACATGTAAGAAGCCATTAATAAATCAATTGATAATGCACAAAGTAATGGTGCTGATAGGATATATAATGGTTCAATTGATAATATAATGAATCTTTTGCCACAAGAAACACAACCAGAGACAGAAAATTCAAATACAAGCATAGAAATTTTGCACTATGTTGAACAAATTGACTATGTCAGTAAGGGGGAACTTATAGAGAAAGACAAACACCTAGGTTATTTAAAGGATTATCATTTCTATAATGTGAATTGTAATTGTAAGTCATCACATTCAACATATCCTATTTCCAATGTTATATCCGTATGAGTGATCAGTGTATTGTAAAGACACAAGGGTATTTTTGAAAGTATTATGGCTAAATCATGACCACACTAAAAATATTGAGAATTTTTACATTTTTTAATTATAATCACCAAAAAAATATTTTATGCCTAGCCATTTGGTTTGGGAAGTGTCCAATTGATTAGGAGATTCTTTTACAACTATCTAATCAGCTAGATCTTTGGCCTAACCGATTATATGAGATCTAGTTGAGTATATAATCAATTGTGACAGTCTCTTAACAATTGATAAAATCTCTATATCAAAACATTCTATGTTGGGCATCAACGATCGACTAATTGAGGTGGCTAATTGATTAGATGTATTAAAAAACCCATGATTTATTTCCAAATTTACACCAAACATTGGTCTATGAATAGAGAGATTCTCTATCATTTTTCTACATCCACAAAATGTGAAAAACCTTACTTTTTATTTCTCTCATAACCTCTTTAAACTTTTCATACTTTTCTCACATATATTAGTCATAACACTTTGAGAGTGTTCTTAAGTCTCAATGAGGATATTGTTCTGAGTGAGGGTATAATTGTAAGTTTATCAAGAGTAAATTTTTTTCTCGGGTAAACAATCCTTCCTTAGGAAGTTATTATTTTGGTTGAGAGCTTAACCATTGAAAAAAACTCTTATTTGTATTTGGGGAATTTGTGTAAATCTCTGTTTGGTTTGTGAGCTCTATCATTGAAGGAAAACTCTCTTTTGAATTTGTGAAGACCAACCAATGAAAAATCTTCACAAATGTTCTTAATCTCAGTCCAGTTAAAAACTCTATCAATTTTAGACCATTCTAATGCAAAGTCTCATTTGGTTAGTGAGTTCATCCCAACATAAAAGCTCAATAGGTTCGAGATCATCCCAATATAAATCTCGGTTTGATTTGGAGGATAACCAACTCTGTCTTGGTTCATGGTCAACCTGTATAATACCTTGGTTTAGTTTGGAGGATAGTTAACTCAAAACTTCTTCTTGGTTCGAGGTCAGCCTATGCAAGATCTTTGTTTAGTGCAAACATTAACTGCTTCAAGCCGTGTTCATTGTTTGGTTAGAAGTTAGATTGAAACTTCATTTTCTTGTATAATGGGATTCATGATAATAACCTTTTAAAAGATCTCAAGCATATAAGATACTCTCAAGATCAATTGTTTGAGACATGATTAAGTCTTCTTGACCGAACCTGTATAATTCTTCAGTGTCATTTCTCTTACCTTATCACTTATATTTTCAATAATTTACTTTACTTTGAATTTCTGCTGCATATTTATTCAAACGTTTTTATCAATAATTTATCAAATGATTTTGTTTTAAATCAATTATTTTCAAATCTCCACAATTCACCCCCTTCTTGTGTATGAAGTCATATGTTCAAAATGATCTACTTTTGTTAAGCTCATTACCCAAATCCTTTGAGAAATTGAAAGATGTCATTCTTTATGGTAAGAAAAGTCTTATTATTTTGGATGAAATCCAAGTAGTTGTGAGATCCAAATAATTCTCAAAGGTGAAAGATTAGAAGATTGATGATAGTGATGAAGGCTTGAGTGTCTAAAGAGAAGAAAATGAGTGTATCCAAATTATATAAGTTTGACAAGTTAGGCTTAAATGCTTTACTTGTCATAAAATCGGCCACTTCATGAGAGATTGTCCCGAGAGGAGGGACAATAATTTTGTTTAGATTGAAGTTGTTTCATACGAGGATTATTTTGAGAGTGTTAGTGTACGAGTGATGTCGAGTTTTGAAACTAAAGAGATTTGGATTATGGACTCATATTGCTCTTATCACATCTGTCCAAGAAAAGAATACTTTCAGATTTTGAAGCTGGAGGGAGGTGGAGTAGTTCTGCTTGGTGTCAATAAGGCTTGTAAGGTTCATGGTACTGACACAATCAAACTGACATCACAACCATTTAAAGTCAAGACAATTTTTTTTAGATATATACCTTACCTTAAGGGATGAAGAGAGTTATACCATATTTCAAGGCGGGTGACAGAAAGCAAAGACGCTGAGAGTCGTGGTAGCGATGGTTTGGCGACCAATTGGAAGTTGGCAGACGATAAAGGTCGGTGGCAATGGTTCAGAGATTTCCAGTGGAGGAGTCATGGAGTACAGAGGCGAGGTCTGGCCGTTCGGTGATAGATATTTCAAAATTCCACCCCAAATCTTCGAAGATGCATCTCCGAGATATTCATTGAACTGCTCAAATAACAATATGTTTGTTGGAAATATCTGGAGATAAATCTTCAGAATAAAATTTTATTTTAGTACTCATTTGATGCGTTATAAAATAGTGTAGGTTGTGTTCAAAAATATATTTCTAAAATCTAAGAAGTATTTTAGATTTTTTATCTCATTTTCATTCTATAAAATAAGATTAAAAAAAAAAAAAAACATATGCAGGCGAATTAGCCCAATAAAATTCGCTTAATACGAGTGAGTTTTAAAGAAAATTTTGTAAGCTACTTATTTGCCTTTTTTTTTTATTTTATTTATTTATTTTAATGTTTGTAGTTTTCTATGGGACACAACATTGTCACCCGTCTGAATTAATATTTGAATCTTAATCATCATGTTGTGTCAGTTTCTACAAAATGCTACCTCATTGGCAGACATAGTTCTAACAAGATAAATAAACAACATTCTATAGCAAAACTCGAACCAATTGGTAGGATAATCACTTCAATCTTATTAGGCTATATGGATTTACTTCAAAAGAAACTTGATAGCATTTGTTTCATGAAGAAAAAAAAAGACTTTAGGATATGAAAAGGTTACAAAATCCATTGATTTCCTTATAGGAGAGTTGCAAAATAAAGCTAACTACATAGATATAATATAGTTTGATTAGCAACCAAATATTAGATCCCATTTCTGTTTTTCCTATGTGAAACAATTGAAAGAAGTCTTGAAACACCTTGAGTCCACAATTCATATTCTCTTTGATTTCTACATTCAAACTCAACTAAACCTCTTGATTCTGTCTTCAATCCAAAGTACCTTCTTTTTTCACCATCCTCCAATAGATGCCTTCCTGGCCAAGCTGCTAAATTCATGCACACATCTAACACAATATCTGAAAATATTTCAAGAAAAACATCATGTTAATAACCAAATGTAAGGAAAATTAAGTTATAGTATATATATTGCTATAGCTCACTCTTTTTCTTTTTTGTAATTGTTCCTGCAACATGTCTGCTTTTCATTTTCAGCATCACCTGGCCGGTTCGATGTATATAAACAGAAACTATTTTCCAGTGAAGATCGCCTGCAGATATAACCAAATAGAGTGTTAATCATTTAGAAAATGAAAAAGTTTTGAAACTAGACTTGTTCAAATTACTACCTTTGCGGGTGCGTTTGAGTAATTCGGTTCCTCGAGCAAGAAGTTCTTGGCTGCAAGCACTTAGGAAATTATCTGCATTGATAATCTCTCCACCACTATCACTAGTACTGGAGCTACTGTTATTATTGGCTTTACCGCCGCATATTCCAATTCCTATGCTTTTCTCTAGCGGCGTCACAGCGCTAATATTCCACATCTCTTTCAATGCTCTTGCTTTCAATGTTGCTGCCCCTCTTAGAGCTGCAAAGTTCAATTTCAAGTAATTCATTTGATGTTAAACTTGAAATGAAGCAATGGTGCTGAATGAATGAACGAACAAACGAACAAAACTCTACCTGTGGCAGCTGCTGCGGTTAGACTAGTGATATCATCATGAGATCTCACATTGACAGCAGAACTAACAACAAAAGCAAGGTGTTCTCTCTCAGCTCCCATTGCTTCAGCAGCTTCAACACACTGAGCAGCAATCAGTGTTGCTGCAGAAGCCACAGCCATATCAGTCTTAACCATTCTCTCGTCCTTGTTTGACGCAGACGATGCTGCCGTTGCTGCGGTGATAGCAGCAACGGCAGATGCTACTGCTGCTACCGAAATAGCAGCATGAACTTGAGCATTATGGCTTCTGTTTTCTTCTTTCTTTTTCTCTCTTCTTTCTTTCAACCATCTTCCTACTGTTTTTGGTCCTGAACTTGGAGTTGCATTGCCAATTCCACTACTCATGGCTCTTGTACCATTGAATAAAGCATGTATCGAATTGTTTGCACGAAAAAACTGCAATACATTTATTTACATGTAGCTTACAATTACCATTTTTTTTGCTAGTTAAAAACAAATTGAGCTTTTTCTAGGTAGCAAGAAAATAATCCAAAATGAGAAGGTTGTTTTGATTTGATTTGTTTTGTTTGCGTGAATGTGAAGATAAAAGGTACAACATTGGACAGTCAAACTCTTTGTCTTGCTGTCTAACTAATCTTCAACATTTTGATCAGCAATGACTAGTCACATCCAAAATGTTAAGCTCAAAGCTCAAAATGTTCAATTTTGAAATGAAAAAAAAAAGTCATAACTCTCTCTCTTTCTCTCTCTATAACTAGCTATGCTCTATATAGTCTAGCTCTTTTTTTTTGTCAGGTAGTGGAAGAAGATAAAATAAAAGTGACCCTAATTCCAAACTCTGATGGAAAACCTTTGTGCTTTATTAAGCACTAAAAATCATCAGTGATGTGCAATTTTACTTTTGCAGGCATGTTACAAAGTACTAACACAGTCAGTGTCTAGTGTCTACTTCTTGGTTACTACAAACAACTTGAATTTATTTCATCTTCCAAATGTGATTGCTTCAAAAACTTAGTTTTCCTCATGAATGAAAGAAATAGTATTTTTATTAAGGAAGAAAAACATGTGGTACCAAACTGCTATTATGAAACCAACCAACCAGCCAGTGTTGACTGCAACAATTGTTCCTAAGGGTCCCACTCTAAGCCAAAAAAAAGAGAAAGGAACATAGAGATACCTTAATAACATCGTCAAATTCATCGGAAGGAGAAATTGGAGGACTATCTGTTCCTGTTAAAGAACCACCACCATTCAATGGTTCACTGCTATGAGACAATCTACCTGATGTTAATGGAGATACTTCCTGTTACATATAACATACATCACACATAAAACAAATTTTAAAACCAACAAACATTACTATAAACTTCAAAAGGGGTGTGAAAAAAATGATTTTTACAATGACCCTTTAGTACTATGCTACATAAAATTCAAAAGGGGTGTGAAAAAAATAATTTTACAATGACCCTTTAGTACTATGCTACATAAAATTCAAAAGGGGTGTGAAAAAAATAATCTTTTTATGAATGTATGTAGTTTAGTTGATTCTTAATAGTTACCTCTCTTGCAGACTGTGACATAATGCGTTCAAGAACAAGCTGTGAAGTAGCAGAAGTAGCAAAAGAGAATTGATTTCCAGACATGGTTTCTTCAGGTATAGAGATAGTAGAAGGTTTATTGGAAGGTAAGCAAAAAGAAGAAGGAGGAGGAGGTGGTTGAGGTGACAAGGCTTTAGAGACTTCAAATGCAGAAGCACTCCATGACCTTGAGAGAAACTCCATTGGAATTCTTGGACTTTCTGGTAAACGAGAAGTGGCATTGTTTGTTGTTGGAAGGAAGTCATTGTTATTGTTATTTCTGTTACAGTTGATTCTGAACTTTGGTTCCATGGTAGTTATGGTCTTGTTGAATGTTGTTAGTTATATTGGTTAGAGTGGTAGGAGCATGAAAGGTTTTTAATGGTGATGTTGTGTTGTGAGTGAGAGGACAATGTTTTGGTCAGCAAAATATGGTTGATTGATGAGTAATGAGGAATGGTCAAACAGCATGTGATGAAGTACTTTGTTATCAACTTCATATACTGTAAAGAAAGAGGGAAATAAAGATAAAGTAGTGTTATGTGGCTTGTGGCTATATATTAGGGAGAGACTATAGACTATAGGGTATAGGGAGAATTATGTGAAACCTATTGTAACACAACTTTGTGGCTTTAGTGATTCTCTTGTAGTACAGTGTAGCATTATTATGCTATTGAAATATTTATACAGTGGTCTGACTAAGAAATTTATATAAATCAGTGCTGGATATGTTAATGAGCTATTATTAGTGACTGATTCAACAATCATCACCAAACAACATTTATCAAGTGGATGAGTGTGGCCATGGTGTGGTGACACTTGGATCTTGGAGAAATTGTTTAAAAAGTGGGAATGATACTCCTATTCAATATTTTAAAATTCGGACATATCATTAGACGTTAGGAATTCTTGATTATTGTTAATTTGTTGAACTCGAGGTATATTGGTCGAATTGTATAACTAAACCTAATTAAATTGAATAATTCAGTTGAATAAACTGAACTTTATAACAAAATTATATAGTTATTAAATCGATCGAATCAGATGACTCTATTTTTATAAAAAATCACGACACCTACAAAATATCAAATTTATTGGAATTTGGAATTACAAGATTGATGAATAATTGAGTGTGGAGAGGGAGAGAGTGAGAGAGAATGAGAGAGAGTGATAATTGAGTGTGAAAAAATGTGAATTCTTTCATTTATAAGATAGACAAAGAATATATATACAACAATACAAGATGATGTACGATTATCAAACAAATAAAAATGAAATATCTCAAGTGTAACCGATTGCACTATTATGTCAACCGGTTACATTCAGTCAGTGACTCAATTTTTAACAAAAAGTTTTAGGTGTAAGCGGTTGACAAATTATGTCAATCGATTGCATTTAGCTATTGTAAATTCTGTTTCACAAATAAACAAGAGTGTAACTGGTTTCACTAATATGCCAACCAATTACATACACGTGAGTTAACTTTTTTTCTTAACACACCACCTTAATTCATGTGCTCTAAGTCTTCCATGCCCATTAGCTTCTTCAATATCTTGAACACTTTAATTGTGATTGCTTTGGTCAGCAAATCAACCACTTGGTCTTCACTTCTACAATACCCCAATCTCAAGCTTCCTTCACGAACAAGTTTTCTCAAGTAGTGAAACTTCATCTCAATATACTTGCTTCTCCCATGTGCAATGGGATTCTAAAGGTTTATAGCGGAAACATTGTCAACCATGAGTGTTACAACGTCACCCTCTTCGTTGCCTAGCTCCTTCAGCAGATTCTTCAACCACACGGATAGTGTAACTACGAAGTTGTAATGTACTCGTCCTCACAAGAAAGATAGTGCAACTACCTATTCCTTTTTCTAACACCAAGAGACTGGTGTTTTCCGAACATAAAGATGTATCCAGGTGTGGAGTTTATACCATCTTTATCTCCGCATCAATTGGAATCACTAAATCTGAGTAAATTGTATCTTTACCTTCGTTATTGATCTCGTTATATTGGAACAACTCACATTTCGGAGTCTTGCAAGAAAACCTCTTTGTCTTGTTGATTTTCTCACGTTATCTTCCATTCGAGCTTCGAAGGGGGTTAGCTTTGTTCCTTTTAGCACTGCTGGAACAAGTTTTCACTAGTCTAAACGATTGACATATTATGACAGTAAATTGCACTCTGCTGCAACAGTTTAATTTTGTCGAAAATGGTTTCTGTTGATCACAACTCTTCTGCTTACTACATCATGCAACTTGTAACCACCAGTAGAGTGATACCCTAAAAGTATCAAATGCTCTCCCTTGTCATCTAGCTTCATTATAAGCTGATCCGGAGCATGTCTATAACAACCAAGCCAAACACTCTCAAATGACTCATGTTCGGTTTCAATTTAAACCAAGCTTCTTCTGGTGTTATCTTCTCAAGCTTATTTGTTGGACATCTATTCAATAAATATACAAATGTAGACAATGTTATTGTAAGTTTATGCGCGGTCTCTAAGAGGGTGGTGAATTAGATTTATTGGACTTTTCTCAATTTGAAGTGTTAGCACTAGTTTTGTTATTTTTCAGAAATGATATGAAAGTAAATATGCTGAAAAATAAATGCAGAAAGTAAATGACACAATGATATATCCTGATTTCCCTCACAACCCGAGAGTACTCCAGTCCCCTTGCTCCCCGTGAGAGATTTACACTATGTCAAATCTTTGTATAAGTATTCCACCAAGACCTATTCTACAATCTTTTAACATAAGAAACACAACCAATAAGGACAATCCCCTTATGATCTTTACAAAGTGTAACAAGAGAACAATCCTCCCTTATTCACTCTCTTGCTTCCAACAATTCTGGACAACATGGAAATTACAATGATATGAATTTTTATAAGTGTTTGAAGTTGTATAACAATGTATATCAATTCTTAGAATTGATCTTCTCTATCAAGTAGGCAATTCTTAATATATAGTACAAGTGCTTAATGATTTATGTAGTTGAAACTATTTGAAAATGTAATGAAATTGATGTGCAGAAGTTTCAACAAAAAGTTATGTCAAGAACACTTGATTTTGAAAATGAGAGAATATAAGTTTTGAATTGCTATGAAAGAGAGATGAGTTTGAATTCTGAAAAGTATGGTTTATATAGAGCCTTAACACCTCTCTAAACACGTACAAATACATAAAAATTTGTCATGGTTCAAAAAGACTTTCAAAAAATCGTTTGCATAAGAATTTTCATAAAAAAGTGTCATTGGTTCAGTGGTAACCGGTTACCTTAGGGATGTAACCAGTTACCTCAAATTATGCAAATTGTCAGTTCTAAAGTGCTATTATGGCGATTTGAAATGCCATAATTTACCAAAAACAAAATAGTTAATTTAAAAATGATTTTAAAAGACGCATGAGAGGTTTAAGATGAATATGCATGATTTTTATGAGCAATTAAGATACACACACACACACACACACACACACACACACACACACACACACACACACACACACACACACATACACATTTAACCATCTTGATTCTTCTATTAATTTTTCAAAGCTTTTTGATAATTTGAACTTGATTGTTGTAGTCTTCAAGCTTTGACTCTTCTTTTTATTGATGTGTTTTTCTTTATCAAAACTATAACCTAGGACAAGAAGAACTCTTCTTCACAGTTATCCCCCATAAATCTTTCGACAAGTTCTTCTCTTTTAACATGTTTTTCACCATGTTCATGATCGATCTATTCTTCCTTTCGAAAATTCCATTTTGTTGCAGTGTATAAAGAGACATTACCTCGTCTATAATTCCCTCGTGATAAAAAAAATTTCCCAAAATCAATTGATAAATATTCGTATCCACCATCCATTTAAGGAACATTGATTTTGTGACCACTTTATCTTTCAACCATGGACTTGAACTTCTTGAACACCTAAAGTACCTCATCCTTTCTCTTTATTAGGTATGTCCATAATTTTCTACTATGATCATCAATGAATGTGACAAAATATCTATTGTCACCCATGAAATCAACTTGAATTAGTCCACACACATTCAAATACACCACTTCAAGGTGACACTTGGTTCTACAACATGCATCCTTGCTGAATTTTCCCTTATGTTGCTTTGCTTTCACATATTTTTCACAAAATTTAGTTGGTATATTGATCAATGGCAGCCTTGTTGCTATTCCATTCTTTTGCTAGGCACTGAGATATTATAAATTAAGATGCCCAAGCCTATATTGCCATATCCACTCTTCTCGACTAGTCGTTGTAGCAAGACACATATGCTCCATAACACTTAACTCAACTTTGAAAGTTCTATTGGGAGCCATTGGAAGTTTTAGGACCAAAACCTTGTTTGCATCCATAACGCGTTGCACCTTGGTTCTATATGAATCTTGTAATCATTCTCAAGTAATTGGACAATACTTAGAAGATTACACTTGATTATGGGAATATACAACACATACTTTATCAAAAAATGTCTACCATCCCTTCTCTCGATCGATACATCATCGATCCCTTCCGCCACTAGAGTGATATCATCTGCGAACATAACCTTGTTATTCATGGCATAATTGACTATAACAAACCAACCTTTCTTCCTGTCATATGCATTGAACATCCAAAATCCAAATACCATTGATCACTGCACTGCATTGCTTCTTTCAAAATCACCACGGTGTTGTCTTCAGTATGCAATCGATTGGTATAAAACTGCAACCAGTTACACTTTAGTTTTGCATTATTTTTCAAATTGTTTCTCTTACTTTCTTGAAACCTTTTATTGTTGCACTCTCCTTCTTAATCATGACCAAAAGTGTGTTATCATCATCAAACTCTTATTTTGTAACTCTAGCTTCATCTTCTTGAGGTTGATTCTTTTTGCCATTGCACTCACTTTTAAAATGACTAAGCATTTGACAATTATAGCATTGCACACTGCTCTTATCAACCATCCTTCTTCCTCTGCTACCTCTTAGATTGTCTCCTCTAGAGTTGTTTGATCCAAAATCTCTATTTCCATTGTTTTCACCCTTTTTGAATGTTGAATTCTTGTAATTTGGGGACTCTCTTCCACCAAAAATTTGAAAGTTCCCTTTACCATTTTTCATGTGTCACTTTCCCTTCGCCTTCTCGTCTCTCTCATTGAAACTGGCTTGCAAAGCAATCTCTCCCTTTGCTTTATCACTATTCCTCCATTCTCTGTTCATGTGCCTCAAGAGAGCTCTACAAATACTCTTTGCTCATCATCGCAAGATCCTTTGTTTATTCAAACGTAACCACCATATTGACAAATATCTTC